TTGACTAATAATAATAGATCTTTATTATCTTTAATATCTTTAATATTTTTAAAAATCTTTTAAGAACGAAAAATAGAAATTCCGTGTAGTAAGCAAGAAGAAGTATAAATGGGTATTATATAGTTAAGTACCGCTAGACGTATCTCCGTTTATTTGGATATTTTTGGAGTGTGGGTGAATCAGAGTTTGGCCGGTGAATTGCTCGCCACTTGTGTGCCCCTCTAGCTAAATCACTTATTTCAGAAATAACGCCGCTAGCAAATTAATAATCGCGAATCCTATTCTACCAGAGAGAGAGTGTTGCGCTTTTGGTAGCAGCTTGTATAAGTAGTCGAGAGACCATGATGCTGTCTCCAAAGCAGGGAACGCAAAAACGAGAAACAAGAAAATCTATGCTGCTTCTAAAATCGCTCGCTTGCACTTTGCCAACGATCTTAAGATTCGATACTCCTCGACGACACTTGTACGATCCCTCTTCTTAATCGTATTAATAGATCCCTCGACCATTTGGTATTATAATCCACAATATTCTCCAAATGGAGAATTTTCAATTTTAATAATTGACTTGACAAAAAGTAAATCTTGACCTCAACTTTTCTCATTCTCTAAACTTTGTCTCCGTAAAAGAGGAAGAATGAAAGATTTTCTATTTAAAAATTAGTTTCTTTTTGTAAAATAAACGGATTTAAATTCAATAGGAATTATTTAGAATATAGTTATTAGAATAGTTAAAAATATAGATAAAATTGTTGAAATGAAGCTGAGAAATAATATATATACGCTCGGTGTTTATGTACTTATCATCTCTTTTACGAGAGGACCGCGTGACTCATGTTCAAGTTTTAACGTTCCACGGAAAGTGGTGCCGCCAGTCGGGGATTTCGTAAAGCTTGTCAGGGATTCCCCTTCCGATACGGTGGAACTTTGTGTTGAGAGTGGGGAGTTCCCCCTAAAGGGAGTTTCGAGACGAAAGGGGAAGCTGCCCGATGGTATGCCTGAAAAACTTTTGTCCATTCAAGAGAATGCATGCACCCCAATCGGAAGTACGTTTGTGAAAGATATCTTTTTCCTATACACACATACCTGGACCGGAAGTAACGACATTTTTTTTTCTAATCACTTATATAACAGTCGTAAGAATATTCTAATCCACTTTCTTTAAAAAAAAATTTTTTTTAAAGTTGTATTTTTAAATTTTTTTAAAAAAGTTGACTTTAAAAAATAGGCTATTTGGATATTGAATGCTTGGAACATTATTACTAAAAGGGTTTGAAAATTGAATGTTGTATCGAATGTTTAGAAATTGGATCAATTGGATATTTCCGATAGGAACAAAAGTGTTTGCTTCTATAATTGAAACAATTGAAAAATTCGATAGTTGATGGGTGAGAGAAAGACGGGCCTGTATCTATATATGTAGTGAATAGTTGTGTTCTCATTGGTAATCAAGAAACGTTCGAAACGGACAGATGGACGAGTTCACTTTGAATAATCTCGTAACTTACGAAGTGCTCAGAAGCACTTTAGCAACGTGATGTTTATCATTCAATATACCCTGAAAAATACTATATATACACAATCAAGTAATTACATTTTCATGTACAGAATTTTTACCCCCCCTGATTGCATATTGTAAATCATTCTTTTTATTTAAAATCTATTTTTCAAACTTCTTCAATTTGTTTTTCTGTTTTTCCGCATTGCTATCAATTATAATTTTTTATAATTATTTATTTTGTAATTTTTTATATATTACATTTTAGGTTAGGTCTTCAAATATCGGGTGGATCAATCAATTATTCGATCAGAGTCAATGTTTTCTTGAAGGTTTCCAATGGATACCAGAGATTGGACCAAGTTTTTACAGAATAGGGGCAAATTGATACCGAATTCGGTCCAATTTAATCAAATCGTTAACAAATTGAATCAAATCGGTACCAATTCAAATCAGATCGATATCAAATTCAATTAAATTGAAGTAAATTGATATCAAATTATAGTAAATTGATATCAAACTGAAGTAAATTGATACCAAAAATTTAAATTAAATTGATAGCAAATTGAAGCGGATACTAAACTTTGAGTTAAATTAAGATTTGATCCAAATGTTGGTATCAGTTGGTTGCAATTTGACACTTTTAAATTAACACTGCTAAATTGATGTTCAGTAAAAATTCCCTTAACACTCTTAACTTAAAAATATCAATTTGCAACGAATTGCTACCGAAAATGTAGATCAAATCAAAAAGTGATACAAATTTTTTTGCATCAATTTGATAATTTTAAGAAAATTGAGAAAGGAAGTACTTTTTCAGAAATGTGTTTCTGCCTTAATGCAACAATAATATTCTTATAATGATTATAGTGCGACGTGTATGGGATTTCGCTTTATTCTATCAGTGTCGTGAAGACTGATCAATAGACATAATTATGGAACTATGCACTGTTAATATAGTACGCACACACTGGCATACGGAGCTTGCGGCACGGTTTCTCTACTAATTTGCGCCTTATTAAGCGGGCGTATTTTATTGGAAACAGGTAGTTGGGCAATAACTAGCATATGTTTGCCAACGGTTTGTCACTTATGATCACTTAATATTAACATTGACGTGGAAAATTACAACAAAGTGGTATAAAAGCTGCAAAGCAATTCCCATATCATTTACTATAAAAATCTTTGTTGGAAATTGTTATTTTTATTATTGTGGAAACGAAAATCTGTGCTGGAAAAATAAGCACTTCTTGGAAAAATATAAATTCTTTTCGAAAAATAAATTCTAATAGTGAAAATAAATTCTATGAAAATAATTTCTATGAAAATAAATTCTTTTAGGAAAGTATAAATTCGTTTTAGGTCAAAAAAAAAAAAATGCAAGTGACACCGGAAGGTGTCATTTTCAAAAAAAGGATCGCATGTTTATTTTGAGGGATGGAAGATGATTTCAAATTTAATATGTTTACACGCATTTCAAAATACACTTAGTTTACTTAACAGGCGTGCGTCGTCGAGTGCGCGCCTTGTTTCAATTTTGACACGAGAAGCGCGACAATCTCGCACATAGACATATCTATAGATTCAAAAGCCACATTCCCACAAGTTGGTTCGATTCCCTTGAAATCTTCCAACTATCCATACCAAAACAACAAGCACAGCACCCGGCAAACTTCTCGACCCCAAACGATCAACCCCAAATCGCCCAAGTGACCGAAAATCTGACCAACGACCAATTACAACAACACTCCAAAGGATTCCCCAGATACAATTTCAAGACGCTATTAAGATCTATATTCAAATTGAGATAAAAAAATTTTTTTAGTCTTATTAGAATTTTTTTTTGAATTAAATTGTTCCCTAGAGTGGATTCTGATTTGTTTACTCTTCTGTAAAAATTTGTTAAAAAGTATAAAGTAGTTGTAAATTCGCTCCACTCATAATAATTTCATGCCGAACGTATTTTTAAACAGCCTAAGCTAATAAGGCGTACACCTAAGATTATCCTCAACTAGGTAAAATGTATATTATCGAGACTGATTCGACCGAAACGAATAACATACATCGAGCGTAAAGCCGTTAATTTACCGCGGATAACTTATTCCTTAAACGCCAATCAAAGTCAAATAATTTGTTCCTTCCGAAATATTATATTATTCACACTTTTCGGAAAGTATAGAAATATCTTCTAAAATGAAATTATCAATGATTTTCGATACAGTTTCTCCATGACGGTATTATATAGTTTCTCTCATCTTTTATTCGTTATACAAGAATGTCATTTGCGATCATTTTAAACGTTTATTCTGTGATGGTGTCAATCATATCTGATTTCGAGTAAAGATTTACAAATTTAATGTTAGCTTTTCGAGTGATACCGAGAGTGAATTATTTATTAGTACTATAACGCGGTGCTTTATTTCAAAAGTAATTTAGATCTTTGGTAATTGGGTATTACACAAGTATCTTTCTGTAAAATTATTGGTTAGTTATTTAATTTTCCATACTATAACGAAAGAGATCGGTCTCGATTAAACACATCATCCCTTTTGAAACATTTTCTCTCTTCGTCCATCAAGTATTATAACGAGATTCATCGTCAAAACGAATATTCTGTCGGAATTCAAATTAGTACTGGAATCTTATTTGTCAAATTAGAGAATCTTATTTATAAACTGTACTCGAGTGCTTTTATTGGCTATATATTTGACAAATTTGATTTGTCCCGTTTTAACAATGGTTTAATTCTTTCGGATTGATTTTAAAATCTTGATCACAGTTTTACAAGACTGGTAAATTGAGACTTTTTTTTCAATTTGACATTCTTAGGAAAACTACTACTAATACTTTTAATTTAAAATCGAGAATTTGTGATTTTAAAAATGAGTTTTGAAAAACACTGATTTTGAAGTAAGAAGAAATTATGACACTTTGGGTACACATCAGTTTTCTTAGAAGTATCCGATTGATATTAGTGGATCAAACTGATACGAAAAATTTAGAATTTCTAATCCATATTTTTGGTATCAATTTGATGCTTTTAAATCAACAGTGCAGTTGAGATATTTATGGAAGAGATGTGATGATGTGCCTTTTGATAATCCGTATGATTCGATATTTAATATTTCGCAATTTTTGTTTTCAATTCAGAATTCATTGACAATAGTTTTCCCGGCAGGGTAATGTTTAGTTGCATTCTACGTTCGACCTCGTTCCCTATCCAGATCGGACTTCCTGACAGTTAAACGTTCGACCTACTGACGCACAACATTCCAACCCTCCGGATTATCTCACCCCTGGTCAGCCGCCAACATTGCGGTCCACTTCCGAAATTTCCGCATTTCACTATTTCGCGAATTTCACCGTCTTTTTCAAGAAAAAGTTTCACGAAAACAACACTCGCAATTTTTTTTTGTAAAAAAAATCTTCTTTAGAGAAAAAGAGTTTCTTAAAGGGGAATTTTTCTAAAAACCGGGGGGAAGTGATAAAAATGATAAATTCTTACCTGTTGCCAAAATTGCATCAGCAAGTAGATACGTTCCTTTCTGAAGAGCCATTCCATCGACTGCATGGCCTGGAGGTCGAAGGTACTTGCTTCAGCAGAGGCCTGCATGTCTTTAAGTGACACAGCAGGATTTAAAGAATTGAGAATTGGCTGTTGAAGTGCCGTTGTCACGATGTTATTATTGGTACCAGCTACCAGATTCGCGTGATAAATTGTTGAGGGCGCATGATTTTCTGTACCGCCAGAAGCCAATAATTGGGCCCCGATCGGCGCAGACGGCCCCTGGAGCCCCAGTGACGAAGCCACTTTGACGGCTTCGATCTTCTCCGGCGGTCCCAAAACAAATTCACGCCACAAGTTCCGCACCAAACTCTAAATTGTGAGCAAATCACTTCAATTTTCGTTTCGGCATCGATGCCGTTTCACTGGTTCAAATTCAAAAAATTTCTGCCCCCACCCAAGGAACAAAAAGAAAAATTGTAAAAAAAAATAATTTTGGTTCTTGGTTATCACTGTTAGCCTTTTTTTTTTAAACCAAAGGTTTAAGACGTCGCACTCGACAACGAGGCATTGTTATCATCATCAGTTCTTAATTTTCGACACTTTTTTCTTGACACTCACTTTTAAACTTTAGTTAATCCCACGTTTCACTTTTTTTTGCACAAAGGAGAATCACACTAGAAATCGTTTTTAAATTTTATCCGATTGTTCCATTAATCAACCGTACTGGGTGATTTAATTAATCCAGAGAGAGGCGATTGATCACTTAATCAGTTTTGTTTTTTTTTTTTTTTTTTGAAAAAAAGTGCTCCTTTCGAATTGAGAAGAGAAAGAAGACCCTTCCTAGCAGGCTCCTAACCTGAAACTAAGAGCTACCGGAGGACCGATGCATTGTCTGGAGGAGGGCAATGGGGTAATGTGGAGGGGATGGGAGGTGCTTAGTGGCCAAGGTGGGGGGTTTGCCAGCCCACCTTGTGACGAATCGAGTAGCAATACACATCCCCTCCATTGTGAATGAACCGCCGACTGAAAGCAACATTTGACATAGTGGGGATATAAATTTTGGAGTGGGGCACTCTGGAAAGAAGCGGAGGCTGGCAAGGTGGCACCTAAACGAGGATCTCGTAGTTTTAACTCCCCGACCTAGCGCCTGCCGCCCCTTTCCAATCCCGTCCTGCCAATCGCTAGTTTTTCTCGAACCCCTTTTCTTGATGTTGAACGAATCGGTCGCCTTTTTCGATACCGGATAAAGTAATGTCCCTGAGGTGCCCTTCGGATTTGTACTTGAAATGTCGGGTTATCCCTAGAATCATCAGTACCGACATTCTGACAATCGTTTTCTTCCATTTTTCCCTTTTATTTACAATTTACAATAACTGCAATTAATTATTCATCAATTATTCAAACTATTTACAATTTTTATTTATGATTTAAAATTTTAATTTACTGTCAAATTTATAATTTCCCGTTCTAATTTTCCTATAATTAGTATCGATTTCTAATTATCAATATTTCGTCCGATTTTAATGATTTCTAAATTTTTTTCAACAATGCGAAGACCAAGTTCACCTCCAGGAAAAGTATGCATTACAAAACTTAAAAAAAAACTGACAAATTGTCTTTGAATTTATTTATAAAACAAAATTTGATTGCATAAAGATTTATTTATATTTTCGATTCATTTAAAGTTGATATTATCTTTCTTGTGAATCTACTTAAAAAATAATTATAACATATAATTTTAATTGTTCGAGAAATGAAAATATCGTTTCTAAGGCGACCGATTCGTGTTAAATGAAAATTCAAGAAACTCACCAGTTATTCTCGTGGAATATTATTTAAAAATAACACACAATCACATCTTTGCTCAATTTTTCTCTGAAAAGTGCAAACTTTTTTTTACCGCAATATAAAATTATCGAATATTAATAATTCACAAATTATAGAGTAATAGACGATAAGTTCACACCTTTCACTTCACCGCTACACCCTTTTTTTCCGATTTAAAAAAAAAAAGTTCGAAATGGGGGATGGTAAATATAATAATTTTTTTTTTTTTTGTTGAAAATCTCTAAAAACGTGACATATAGACGATTGCTTAAGGTGAGAAGATGGTTAGGTGTTTTAAACAAGGCGAACCCCTTCAGTTTGTGTCATAAATAAAAAATAGGCTAATAGTACAACGCGTGCGGATAATAGCTGTTCAAGAAAGGGTTACCTCACCTTTTAACCAAGTGAGAGAGGTATATATACGAGAACTTCACACCGTTAATGGCAACGTTTGGTTTTGCACCTAATATACTGTATATATATACACACACACGTTATTACCTCATAGAAGGCAGAAAACGATGAAATAATTAATTTAACGAATAGTTTAGTGATTTTCGACTCATTTTGTTTCAAAGCGCGCTCTATGTTGTTGCGGTAATTTTCGACTCGTTTTATTCGAATTGCGATAGGTTTTTTAATTTTCGACTTTTTTTCAAGTGCTGCGTATTTTTTTTAATGATTTTCGACTGATTTTTTCTCTCTTTTATAAAAATGAGATTTTTTATATACTTTTTTTTATATTTTTTTTATATTCTTACTAAAGAATATATTCTCATTGTAAGAATATTTCCACTTAATTTAAGTGAAGAATATCCTGGGCACCTTTTTTATAGTGTATATTCTTAAATTAAGAATATTTTTTTTCAGTGTACTGTATTTCCTTGTTTTTTTTTTATATACTATTTCTATATTTTTGCTTTGATTTTAAAAAGGCCGAAAGATCTGGATGAAATTTGGAAAACCGAACAGAAATTTCCTGAGAATATTTTAAGATTTTTGTACTCACTTGATAAACTTCTATTCAAAATTTATTATTCGTTTGGATTGTTTCTATTGAAAGAGAAATTATTTCTTTTGAAGTGAGAATTATTTCTTTTAAATGTAATGCAGGAAGGAAAATAAAATAAATGTAATAAAAAAATTAAACAAGTATAGAAAATACACTGAAAAAAAATATTCTTAATTTAAGAATATATGGTGCCTAGAAAAAAAGGTGCTCAGGATATTCTCCTTTTAAATTAAGTGAGAAATATTCTTACTATAAGAATATATTTTTATTGTAAGAATATTTTCTTTAATTTAAGTGGGGAAAATCATGGGCACCTTTTAATATTATTAATAATTTGATTTTATAATATTATAAAATAAAAAAATATTTTATATTCTCATTACTATAACTATATATTATATTTGTTATGAAAATATATAACAAATATAGTATAGTTTGAAAGTAGAAATTATTGTTCGTCAAATAAACTATTTAAAAAGTTGAGATTGATTTTTAAAGATAAATATAAAAAATTGAGAGGTTTGAGGGATTAATAATTTATTAAGTATAATGTATGGTGTAAAGACGCAGATATAACAAGGGTCAAATTGTTAAGTTGGAATACTAGTAGGTCTTTGGTTATGAGTTGAGTGCTACCAATATTTATCGTTTCTACACGCAAAGTGGGAATGTATGACAATCAGTTGTCAACGCTTCTTTTTAAGATCACTATGAAAATAAAGGATTATTTTGTCAACGCTAAGAAGTCGTTCGTATTTATCCGCCGCGTGCATTTATCCGCGTCTGAATCTTTAGTTGACTGATGCTGCATCAAACTCTCTTCCCGTCAATCTTAAAAATTCTTCTCCTTCAATCTTTTCCCAAAAAAAATTCGTTTTTTCCCAAAAATTTTATATCACAAAATTATTCTTTATAAAAATAGAAAAAGAGAAACTAGAGAATGAATTTAGTAAAAATTTAATGAATTTAGTAAAAATTTCGTAAGTCTATTGGCAATTTCGTAGCTTTCGAATTTTAGTGAAGGATTAAAAAATATTGGATTAAATTGATTATTCGATTTTAAATATCAGTAAATAAGGATTTTAAGGTATATTTTCGGTTTTTTAATTTTTTTTTTATGAGATAATATTTAGCCTTATTCGCACGCTACTCGATAGCATTTCACGTTAATAGTGGTTGGCATCAAAAGGGGGGGACAGGCCTCGTCTTCATCTAGCGATTGTAATAATATCTTAAAGGATAAACGCCTTCGTCGGTTTCTTCACAAGTTCAAGAGCCGCGCTCAGGGACATCTCCCTTTCCAAGCGCAGGAGTAAGCAAATTTTTCTCCAACGATAAGATAAAGCACCATGAGAAGTTGGTTTTTCACGAATGTAACTAATTTGCAACGTGATTTTTTTTTTAACTTTCTATCCACTTTACTAATGTCCGGAAAATTTAATACACATTACCCAAAGGGTTGTTGTAATTTGTCACATGTTCGAATTTTTTTCAAATTACTTTCCTTTAAGAAATTTTTTTTGAATTAATTAATAATTCCATTAAATTATTAATCAAAGAATTATTAATCCGAGAATTATTAGTTCAAGAATTATTAGTTCAAGAATTATTAGTTCAAGAATTATTAGTTCAAGAATTATTAGTCAAAGAATTATTAGTTCGAATTTAAGAATTAGTTAAAGAATTTAAATTCCAATTTAGGAATTAGTTAAAGAATTGAAATTCCAATTTAAGAATTAGTTAAAGAATTATTAGTCAAAAATTTAAGAATTAGTTAAAGAATTATTAGTGATGTGAAGAATTATTAATTCCCGAATAAAAATTAAAAAGCAAAAAAAAATTGTGGGAGCGAAAATTGAATTTTTCTTTATCGCGAGTCTCAAATTTTTTATGAGAGAAATCTTCTCGCGAGAGGCGGAGCAAGTGAAGTTGGTTGACCGCACATTTCTTATATAGAGATAAAGGGGGCAAGAGTATTAAATAGTCGAGACGATCAAGAATCCGATCTATGATCACGTTTCTGGCAACTTGGACATTCTTTAATACAAAGCACTCGTTTTCTCAAAACAAGAATTAATTTCTTTTCAGTCCCATATACTTGTGAAACTAGAACTTTTTCGAAAAAAAAATTTTCTCGAAAATTAGATTTTTTTTGTTGCACTTTTGGGGGGAAAAATTGAGCTAAAGAGTGGATCACTAAAAAATCACGAGGCACACTGTAAACACAAGACACTGGTGGTTTTCTTAAATTTCACTCTCGGCGGTTCAAAAATTCAGGGGGGGGGGATTTTTTTTTTGGGAAAAAATAGAACACTGGTCAATGGTACGTACTAGGTGATAAAACTGGAACGATGTCACGAGAGATTGAGTTGATGATATAGATATATATTTTGACAAATATTTGACGTTACGATAAACGAAGGGTCCTTCTAGGCCTGTGTTCTGGCCGAGACTAAACTCGGAACTCGGTTTCTGCAGCCCTCGCTAGTCATCCCTCCGCGGTACGCACTTTCATCCCCCGGCAAAACTATTGACATTGTGAGTTTTGGAAAAAGTATTTTCTTTCCAAAAAACACCACCTTTTCTTTCTCGACAACCAAACGGGAAGAACCGATTTTCTAGAATGTGAATTTTAAGGTAAACTTTTCTCAGTAAAAAATTTTGGACAATAAAAAATACCCTTTGGATTATTATTCAGCGATGGGACAATAGTTGTGCGGGTTGTGTTCGTAGGGAAAGCAAGAGTGTAGGCCGGTCGGTGGCGCCGTGCAGCGGATTGATGATAAAACTTGGGAAGACAGCATACGGGGGTGGCAACCCCCACTACTGAAAATTCATCGAGAGATGCGATGCGCCTTTACTCTCTACCCCCACCATTTCCAATCGTCGCACACTTTACCCTTCGCTCCACCGGGATTCACCACCAAGCGAGAAAACAGGACCTATCGGGGATGTCCTATACCGAGAGATATTGGAAGTATCGGTGACTTTAACGGGACGTGTGCGACCTTCGATTTTGATGCGTTAAACTGATCCGAATGCATTTGTGATTATAGGCTGAGGGGTAAATATACTATTTTTCAGGATTTTCTCTTTAGTAAAAAAAAAGTCATTTTTTTCTGTTTTCCCAACAGGATATAATATTGGGAAAAAAATTAAACTTACTGGATTAAGTGAGTTTTTTTCTTATAATTTAGTAGATATTTTTAATGCCCTGGTGATAAAATAAAAAAATATGTTAATGAGAAGAATATAGATTTATCTGTTTATAAAAAATTGATATTTTATTATCCCTGGGATGGTGGTCATTTTTAGGGACGTTCTAGAGATATCCTGATTTGCGAAAGTCCCCGTAGTTTTTAACGATATCAAATTGAGACAAAAAACGAAGTGTTGCGAAAAGTGTTGCGATGCAACACTTTTGATTGGTTTTTTGTCTTAATCTGATATTTAGAAAAACTTTGCTTAGATATAAATAAATTCTGAAATAGGTGCTTTTAGGGATAACATTAATATTATTTAATAGTTCCTTGGAGCCTAAGAAACTTAAATGGTCCATATAATTTTAGCTTCCTAATGTCAATGTGTATTTTTAAAGTATATTTTACTCCTCTATCTACAAAATTTTTTAAAAGATACCAAAATGAATCAAATTGATATTAAATAAGATCGAATTGAAACCAAATGTATAGGATTAAAATCATATCAAAGTGAATCAAACTGGTACAAAATTAAATCAAATTGATCCCAAATTGAATTAAGTTGATACCAAAGTAAATCAAATTTTAATTATGTAAGATCAAATTCATACCAAATGGGATCAAATCCATTTCAAATTTTAATTATGTAAGATCAAATCCATACCAAATGGGATCAAATCCATTTCAAATTTAATCAAATCCATTTCAGATTGAATCAAATTCGTACCAAATTAAATGAAATTGATACAGAATTGAATCAAATTTTAATTAAATAAGATTAACTTAATACCAAATGGGATCAAATTATATCAAATTGATCCGAAATTGACTTAAAGTGAATCAAGTTAATACCAAATTGAATCCTCAAATTTTAATTAAATAAAATCAATTTGATACCAAATGGGATCAAATCCATATAAATTTAAGTCAAATTGATAACAGATTAAATCAAATTGATCCGAAACAGAATTTAAATAAATTAAATTGATATATCAAAGTATAAATCAAATTTTAATTAAATAAGATCAAATTTATACCAAATAGGATCAAATCCATTTTGAATTTAATTAAATCCATTTCAAATTTAATCAAATTGATAGCGAATTAAATAAAATTGATCCCGACTTGAATTACATTGATACCAAATTGAGTCAAATGAAAATTAAATAAAATCAAATTGTAACCAAATAAAATGAAATCCATATCGAATTGAATTAAATTGATTAAAATTGATAACAAATTAAATCAAATTTTAATGAAGTAAGATAAAATAAATACCAAATGAGATCCAAACCATTTCAAAATAAATCAAATTGGTATCAAATTAAATCATATTGAATTAAATTAGTACCAAATTAATTAAATTGATTCCAAACTAAATTAAATTGAATAAAAATGATTAATAAAGATCAAATTCATACCAAATGGGATCAAATCCATTTCGAATTTAATCCAATCCATTTCAAATTTAATCAAATTCATTTTCGATTGAATCCAATTGATACCGAATTAAATAAAATTGATCCGGAATTGAATTAAATTAATACCAAATTGAGTCAAATTAAAATTAAATTAAATCGAATTCATAACAAATTAAATTAAATTTTAATTAAGTAAAATCAAATTCATACCAAATGGTATCAAATTCATATCAAATTGAATCAAATTGAAACTCAATAAAATCAAATTGGCCCAAATTTAATTAAATTGATAGCAAATTGAATCAAATTTTAATTAAATAAAAATAAATTATTACCAAATGGGATCAAATCCATATAAAGTTGAATCAAATTGATACCAAATTAAATCAAATTGATTTGAAATTGACATAAATTAAATCAAATTAATACCAAATTTAATCAAATTTTAATTAAATAAGATCAATTTGATACCGAGTAGGATGAAATCCATATAAATTTGAATCAAATTCGTACCAGATTAAATCAAATTGATCCCAAATTGAATAAAATTGATACCAAATCGAATGAAATTTTGATTAAATCTGATTAAATTCATTTTGAATTGAATCAAATACATTATTTCAAATTAAATCAAGTTGATGCCAAATTAAATCAAATTGATCCCAAATTGAATTAAATTGATACCACAATTTGAATTGAATCGAATTGATACCAAATTAAATGAAATCGACACTGAATAAATCAAATTGATTTCAAATTGGATCAAATTGATACTAAATTTTTCCAAATTGTTTGTATAATTGTGATCCAATTGGGTATCAATTTGATACTCAATTATCAAACTGCAATAAATTGATATCAAAAAGTGGATTAAATCATAATTTGTCCAAATTTTCGGTTTAATTTTGATCCAATTTGGTATCAATTTGATACTTTTAAGAAAACTGTGAAGGGTATAACCTTTTAGAAACTATGATGATCATCGGATAACCTAAAAAGTTTGTTATTATTAATTCTTTTTATTCGAGAAGGATGTTATCTGAAGAAAATAAGACAAAAATTTGCAGAATGTCTCGTGCGTGATATATTATAGTTTAATTGTGAGAAATATTTCCAAAATGCTCCCCTATACTTATTGAATAAGCATAAATGTGTATTAAGTATATTTATATAAGACTTTTGAGGGTCTCTTGTAAAAATATATAAATAGCGCCACTTTGATCGTCCAGCGGATCTTATTTCCAATCGCATTGGAAGTCAAACCTTGGTAGGGTGGCGGTAGGGTGTACTATATAAAGTGAGAGCATGCGCCCAAAAGGGGTAAACTCTAGCGCAGGTGCTACTCTTTATCTCCCCACTTTCCACGAGTGCGGACAGTCATTCTGTTTCAAGTTTTTTTCTATCTTGAGAAATTTCAACTCAATCTAGAAAGTCTTTCAAAAAGTTGTTTTCTTTCCCTAATACTTTCTTCTATTTCGCTCGCACTAGTTAGTTATTTTACTTTTATCAGTAGTTAATGGTATATATCTGAAATTTATATTTTATTACTGTTATTTTTATTGTTATTACTATTATATTATTTATAATTATTTATAATTATATTATTATATTATAATTATAATTATTATTATTATTATTATTATTATTATTATTATTATTATTATTATTATTATTATTATTATTATTATTACCTATTTAATAATAATAATCCTGATTTCTAATTTTCTTTTTGAAAATAATACAATTATTATAATAATTATAATAATACACTCGAACGCCGATTTAGCGGACTGCCTGGAGGAGTCGTCCGTTAAATCGAACAATTTCTTAACAATACCTTTAACGGGAGAGGACAAAGAAAATCGTAAATCACATTCAAAAAGTCCGCTAAAGCGGTGTCCACTAAACCGGCGTTCGAGTGTAATAATAATAATAATAATAATAATAATTATTATTATTATTATTATTATTACTATCATTATTATTATTATCGTTATATATTATATATTATATTATATACACCCAGAGAGATGATTTATTTATATTAAAATTAATATAAAAATAACCAAAGTATTTAAAACCTATTTGATATTTTATTTGCCAAACTTGCTGTTAGTTTATGTATATAGCGATAGGTTTTTGATTCGAATAAACGGAAGGAGTTCCCTTTTTGATTCAGTTTGGAAAGATCTTTCGAATAAGTACTTCCGGCTTAAGACGCGCGCAAGGAGCTCGTCGGCTAAGAACAGAAGCTGGTCTTTTTTTTTATTTTTTTTTTTATTTTAAATCAAGATTGAAAATCTTATGTATCATTTGCAAGCGAAGCATCTGGCTTCCATGCAGTAAAAATGAGTTTGTTGTAATATTCTTTCGCAAAACCTGCTTCCCAGAAATATTACCATATACATTTTTGCAGTATTCAATTGCCGGAATCGTTAATGTGTAATACTGAATTCAGTATGCTGCCGTGTTTAAACAAAAAATGTTTCAAAATGCTCAATCAATTATATTTGTATTACATAAATTCGTGAATTATTTCTTGAAATTCTTATCACGGTAAAAAGAAAGTCTTGATATTTTAAGATGAGTAAATTCCGTAGAGAGCTGATCTTGATGTTGAATCTGTTTCTGATTTTAGAGGTTGTCTTAAAAATATTGTTTAAATTAAGACTTACTTTAAGACAGAAGGTAAGTTTTAAATTGAGATGTATGATAAATATATTTTAATAAATAGAAATAAATAATAATAAATAATAATAAATAATAATAAATAATAACAATAAATAAATAAATAATAATAAAACATGAAGAAATAGATCACTCCGAGTCTTCGACTCGAAGCAATCGATATCTTCATGTTTTATAATAATTAAAATTGATCCGACTGATAAAATCATTATTTTATATATTCTAAAAATATTGTTACTTATACTTTCATCACTTCAATTCAATTATTATTTTCCAGAATTTTTAACTAAAAATTCTTCTTTAAATTAATTATTTCTAATAATTTTTGAAAAATTTTCAAATCCTTTTGTT